TCCACATTTTAGCTCCTCTGGAGCTGCGCTAACAAGTCTTTTTTTACTGATTAGTTTTGTGAAAAAATTTTTAAATTTTTAAAAGATGTCTCTAAAGGTCTGAGTATATTTAAAAAATCAAGGTTATACAAAGGCGGGGAAACCGCGAAATTTCGTCATGCACCGTCACCGCCCCGCCCCGTCAAGTTTTAGCACCGCCCCGCGGCGGGGCGGGGCGGGGCGGGACGGGGCGGTTTTACACCGCGGCTCGTCCATCCCTGATAAGTACATGTAACTCAGAGTATTTGTCTTCAGTCACAGACGATGAAGTGCTGACTAGCTAATTACATACATCATTACAATCAATTTTAAATGCTCAGTTTCATCTGCGAAACAGCAATAGTTCCAAAGATACTTTAAACCATGCATAATTTCTTTGTTCCAATCAAACAAAGTTAACAATAAACAATAAGAATCAAACACGCATTTTTCTAGTGAACCCAATAATGTCATCTTCATCAATAGTTCAATTAATTATTTCTATATCCGAACATTGTATGATCGATTTTGGTGTTATTATTTTATTGATGGGACTCATTGGTAACACAATAAATATCATTGTATTAAACAATCTTCGACTCTTTCGAGGAAATCCATCTGTTTTCTACTTCATTTTTGAGTCTATTGTTAACTTAGCTCATCTTCTTATCAATTATCCAACAAGAATTATGATGGATGGATTTGCTATTAATTATACAAATATGTCACTGGTTCGGTGTAAAATGAGAGCATATCTCGTTTTGGTTCTTACTCTCATACCTATGTTTACAGTGTGTTGCACATCTTTGGATCAATTTCTTTCGACACATAATCAAACCGTTTTGAGACAACGGAGCACACTCACTTTGGCTAAATATCTTACATTTGCTATTGTTTTGATTATTATCTTGCATGGTATTCCAATTATTGTTTTCTTTGATTTACCATCTTCAAATATCTGTAATATATATGTTGCGATTTTTAGTCGATACTATTCATCTGTTTACTATCCAATCATACAGAGTGTATTACCCATGTCTATTGCATCACTATTCAGTATTTTGGGTTTTCGAAATGTTCGTCAAATAGTTTGACGACAAATTCCAATGATGCTTCGTCAACTTGATCAACAATTCACAGCCATGGTTCTTTCTCGTGCGGCTTGTCTTGTAGTTTTCATTCTTCCTTTTACTATATATCGAATATATGTACTTAATATAATTGTCCAACCAGATCAACTAATTTTATCGACTATTAATAATAGTTTACTTGGAGTAGTTACCATTACAATTTTCTATGTTAGCTACTCAGTAAGTCATCTTTGATATTCCTCTCAATGATATTGTATTCATTTTCTGTTAGGTTAACTTTTATGTTTTCATGGCAACATTCTCACGTTATCGACATCAAGTAAAGCATGTCCTAGTGAAAAAGATTTGACTGCCATTCAAATGCTGGCTTCGTTTCCGATTGAGATGTGGAAACGTCAATCGCATTGCATCTGAAGAAACTCAAATTTACGATACCTCTATCGATTTGGGGTAATATTGTATTGATTGTACAGTTGTAAATTGAATCAACTTCGTTCAATTTTTTTCTATTATCAAAAATTATCAATAAGAATAACTATCCACTGTACATAGAAACTCTATAGTATTCATTTCGGATTAAAAGTGTTCATTACAATTCTCACGGGATTAAAATATGGAACACGATGAAATTGCTTTAATCGTTCGTAAAGACTTAGTCAACGTCGATCAGAGTCTATGGCACGTTTAAGGGAGTAACACGTTGCCATATGTTGTACTACTACGGTCTGTGACAAAGACTAAAAAGTTATATTGAATTGTAGAAAAAGTAAATTTCTGTGCTTCACGATTTCGAATTCATTCAAATAAAAGACACTACTTGACGTCCAAAAATCCGTAGTCGCAAAATTCAAATTTGCAAGTTGACGTGTCCTATTGCATTTCGTAAAATCCTACTGATCTTCTCTTGGACAAAGATTGTGATCGAGAGAGTGTGTGGTTGTGGATGTGTATCATCTCCTTGTCTCACATTTGCACCCATACCCTTATTTTATGTTATATGTTTGTGTCAAGAACAAACAAATTTTCCATACTTGAACATTATACTTAACATACAACAATATGTCATATATTATATAGCTCTTAATCTTTGTAAGTGATTTAAAAGTTGAGTAGAATTACAGACAAAAAAAAGTTTCTTATTTTCTAACTTTTGAGATGAACATCATGCTTTTCTTCGACAGAACTGATCATGTAACATTTGTCTTTTTTGCTATTTTACTATTAGTTGCTTTGAAATTAAGTGATACAACATTTCTCTTTTCATATTCTTGCTATAGCTACTCATTCGTATTTAACAAGAGAAAGTATTACCTGTGATCTTGTTTTCCTATCATCAATTATTATCAGCATCAATAGTATGAAGACAAAAAAAATAAGAGAAACGGTATCGTGGACAATCATCCAGAGATATGAGAAACTCATCTATATACTTCTGAAAAACTATCAAAAAACTGTTGGGACAACTCTCAAGATCAAAACTGATATGGAGCTGTCTTATGTCTAGTAATGGGGAACCACAAAACTTCGACTTAAAACTGACACTCGCTGTTTTCTTCTAAAATATATATGAGTTCCACAAGAAGAGAATCACATTCATGAAGACGACCAATAATTTCAATAACGAGAATAAAATGATAAATCTCATGTTTTTCCTAATGTACAAAAATTATTTTTATATAATATCACGTGACTCTCATCAAGAGTTTCTGTTCGACAACAAAGAATAAAAGTTGATTCAATTATGGTTTCAATATCTTGAGGCTCTTCAATAAATTTATTATTAATCATTATACCCCATTCACTAATTGAGCTAATACATCTGACAATACATTTTAAAAGAATAACAAAAATAGAGTAGTATCTATCGAATGATCAATATATTAATTGTCTTCTCTCATTTTGATTTCTACTCGGCAAGAGAATGTTCAGAAAAAAAATTAAAGAACAACTGAGATGTATCAAATAGCTAAAGAAAGTCTTTTGCATCATAGTTCATTCAATACGACGAATGAAGTTTATCTTAATTGAATGATTAATTTTTCAATAAAAGATAATATCATTTGTTTGATCTCTTTTGAAGAACTTATGTGTTCGAATGAAGCCAATAGGTAGTTCCTTTTTCATTATTATTCTTATTAAGTTGAATACATGTTTACCGTAAGGTAAATGGTCGACAATCAATGTTTTTTTTATCTCCATTGAATAAAAAAGATCAATAGAAATAGTTTGTTAAATTTCAAATAAGTATATATATGTTCATCTTATCGTATCGAATAATATAGACTCATCGTTTGTCGACAAGGAAAACATCTAACAATCTTTTTTGTTTTAGATAAAGAAAGGAAATAAATCGATTGTAATGTACATAAATAGACGTCTTTTTTAATTTATTTTATTCAATTAGAATACTTCTTTTTAAGGAACATTTATAAAATAAAATAATTTTGAGTTAGAAATATATTTTTAAGATAAACATGCAAATAAATATTGAATTAGCCAATTTGTTTCTGATCGTTGACGTAGATTCATTCGAAGTCTATGTCGAAAGATATCAACAACGTTTCGGTGTGGAATATAAGATTTTGGAAGGAATAACATTTCTTACTTAATAGATATTTAAAGACAGTATAAGTTCTATTAGATAAAGTAGTTAGTGTGTTATTTTATTAACAAACTCAAATATAACAAAGAAAACAATTGTTTTGTTCAAAACCCTAATGTCATACATGAAAATCAAATACAAAAGTTGACAGGCTGCTTTAATTTAGAAAATTCAGTAATCATGGTTTCAACACCTATCGACAAAAAAACGACCTTTCTATCATTACTGTAGTAGCAGATAATGTTGAGAATATTTGCAATAATGCTTTTATATTTGGATAACATATATTGTTTTTCTAGTTTGGTTCCGGCTGGTCAGACAGTCATATCTTGGTAAGGTACAGATAGAAGAAGAAAAAGGATAACTACGTGTTGTTTCGTAATACAGATGATCAGTTGCTCACTATTTATCTTACAAGATTAGGATGATAAGTTTTGCAATTTTAGTCTATCCTTTTTTTATCCATTATCGACAGTTTTTATAGGACTTATTAAACGAAACTGAATTGTTTGAATGGTATGATTTATCTATCGATTCCTTGCAACGACGATATGCAATCATGCCACATGAAATTCAACTGTGTTATGGCAAACAACGATGAGCAACTTGTTTATCTCATTTTATATGCATTATAGAAGAGGCCAGCGATGACTTAACATTTGCCGCTGACCGATGGGATAATATACAATCTTGGATTAATCTAGACATACGAACACCGATGACAATTACTATATAAGGAGGTCTGTGAGAGTGAGGATTTGCAGTAAGATTGTTACAAATAAACAATCGAAAGCTAGCGATTTAAAGATCCCTTTTAGATGCGTGTGACCTTGTATTTCTATCCTTAACTCTTTATAACAATGTGAAGTGTGGCTGTGAATATAGAGACGAATAACATCCATACCCTTCATCTAACAGATGCTAATCTATACATAGATGGATTTTTAACGAGAAAAAATCATATTTTTATGTTGGGTTTTCTATCTGACCTTCATTTAGTTTAAATGTCTCATCGAAAACATAGCGCTCGAGTCATTCTTTTCTCAATTAAACAGAACGCAGAAAAGAAACCGTGTCACATTGATTGAGCTTTGTCAATGCAGTAATCATTCATCACACAAAAAAAGATTAGTTAACGGCCTCTTTCACCTCACATACACATATAAATCTGAACCGTTCGCGAAAAGCAACTATGATGTTTATTATATCGAGGAAAAAAGTAGTTATGCATTACAGCAAGAAAATATTCCTTTATGAAATTCCGTTTCTTAAAACGTTCTAATGGAAATTTATGATTGGATATTTCCTAAAATATATTCTCCATTTCTGTACAATTTCAATTCATATTGATGATATTGTCGTAAAGTATCTCGATGACCAATACTGATTAAAGTAAGATTTTTTTTAACTAAATAATTATACATTTTCATTTCCGTATTCACATCCAATGATGAAGTAATTTCATCAAGAAAAACCAGATTTAATCTCGAAGATCTTGAATCATTCAGTGGAGAAAGACGAAGTAAAAGACGAATAAATGACAAACGTTGTAATTCACCAGGTGATAACAAATCTTGCCAAGCATATTTTGGACACAGGAATAAATTCGATTCGACACAGTCGAGAATATGTGTAAGATTCCATTCATCAAGAATATGTACGATTTGTTGTTGACGTTCATCACTAGGCGAGGTGTCTACATCAGGATAGGATAGTTCATCATATAATGATAGATTCGTAAAATAAGGACGTTGAGGCAATAGATAAGCATTAGCAGGATGGTATGAAAAAGATCCATGAATATTCGCCGGCCATAATGAGTGAAGAACACGAAAAAGTGAAGTTTTACCAACACCACTATCACCTGAAATGAATTATGACAAAAATAATTGAAGATAAAAATCAATTATCGATCGAGTCTCAGATCTACAAGTCCATCTCTAGCTCAATTTTTCCTTCTTTCTAGTAAAACTGAAGTGATCTGTTCGAATACAAGACCTGTAATCAATAGACGTTCGCCTTGATATAACGTTAAATTAAGATTTTTCACCAGTATATGTTTATTATTTGACGATGTGGAATATGATAGATTTTGAATACTAAGAATTTCGTTTTGTTTCATACTTTCATTTCTTTGTCTTTTTGGCCAATTTGTATCGATATTTTTCATGTATTCAACAAATGTTTGCACACGATGTGTATTAGCCGCAATAACGGTTAATTTATCTGTTAAATCATTCAATAGATTAAAACGATAAATGAGATATCCTGTAATAAATGACGTTTGACTAATAATTGCAACGAGATCATCCGTTGATACATGATCGTAGAAATGAAAGACATAGATTGCTAGTGCTAATAATAAATAACTTATAATACTTCCAATATAATCGTATAAATTAGTCGATAAACTTAAAAGAAATTCTTGCCATGTTCGACGGTAAAGTAATGGAACTAGTGTTTTAAGAAAATAATTATCAAATCGTTTATGTTCAAATGCATCACCATGATAAAATGCGATAGTTTCATTATGTGTTCGAATTTGTGCGTGAAGAAAACGAAAATTACCTTCGGAAATATTCTGTTGAAATATTGTTCGAGAAACAAAGGAGATCAAGATTTTATTGATTGGAGTCCAAAGAAGAAAATAGAGAAAAACCGCTAATGGACCATAGTAACCCGTTATTTTCCAAGTAGAATACGTATAATAAGCAATAGTAAATGGTGAAATAACAAGTAATGGAATGATTGAGGATAATGATCGACATAAAGAATCTACATCTTGAGCTATACGTTGGTCAGGATTGTCAATCAATAGTTTACTGGTGACCAATGGACTTAAAGTAGCGGTAGATACATAGTCAACCGATTGTTTTTGATGATCACCGATATCCTTACTAGAAAAAAACAGACTTTTGAAAAAAGATGAATCTTTTTCTACGATTCTTACATTTGTATTGAATGACTTTGAGAATCGTTCTCTCGTGTTTGATTCTGTTGTGCTGTATTTAATAAATGGTAATAACGTTGTTGTGTAAAATAGAATGAATGTAAATATGAAACAAGTCTCATACGCCATTTGACGTAGAGTACTGAAGAGAAAAAAATTGATGATGATTTAAGCAATGCATTCAATATGACAAATACAAATGAACGAAGAACCAACCAACGGAATCCTGGATGATCACGTTGATTCGGTGGTTTGCGTAATTCAGCATAAAATGCTGATGGAAGTAAACCAACAAGATAAATAATAAATTGTAAAGTACCTTCATTGATAAGTATGAGTAAGAGAAGAATTAATGGATGGAAATACCATTGTTCACGATAATGATGATGACCATTTAATGAAAGACGAGATAATGACAGAAAAACACGAAAAAGATTAGCGAGTCGTTTAATAAAGAGACAATTGAAACTATTCGTTGAAGACATGCTCACGAAAAGAACCTAGAAGCAAGCGAATACACGAATAATCTGCAAATGCCTATAGAAATGCTAAGTATTTTGTATAGATAAGAAGAACGGTGGGATTAATATTTGAATGTGAACTTTGATTAATCTTCAGTAGAGACATCTTTGATAAATGTATGCTTTATTTTCGTATTTGGCGTTAATTTTTATTCTTATTTGAATACAAGAACAACAATCGGATTAATATTTGAATGTGAACTTTGATTTATCTTCAAAAGAGACTTATCTGATAAATGCATGCTTTCTTTTGGTATTTATCGTGAGCATTTATTCCACAGCCAATTGTGAAAGTTTAAAACAGGCGTGCAAACGCTGGAACTGTTTGAAAACTTGCATATATACGCCAAACATCAATCCTGTATTTTATCTGTACGCGCTTACATTCAAGTTTTTCTGAGATCCTCGCGCTTATATACGGTAACTATGGCATGCGTTTGTATGTAGGTAGTTTTTGGTTAAAACAGACGCGATTAAGTATAATATCTTCTCCTCTCAAACATCTGCATGCGGAACCGTTACGTCACAGTGCAAGGATTTTGTCTCGTAAAAATGTGCAAAAGCTCCTCCTATATTGATACGCATGACTTTAGAAAATCTGAGACAAAGTGCATGTATACGCGGCTTCAACATAGAAGAAGCAACATGCACGCGAGATTCTGAAGCTGTCAGTGGTCATAATCTGGCATGTACAAACATATGAATCGACTCCCATCATATAAATGCGATCACTAGTCATAATCGATAATGTAAGTTAGTCGAGTGGTAACTGTGGTCATCTTTCAATGTGACATCTCGAGTTCAAATCGGAGTAAGTCTGTTAATATTCTCTCTGTAGCACATGTACATGTGAGTCATAATACCAATCATATCTCTGATACATTCTCTTTTGGTATTTCTGCTCGTCTTCTTACATGTACTTGCAAAGATGATGCTAAGCACGCGCGTGCATGAAGTCTCCGCGCATGACATACAAGTATCGTAGTAGAAAATCATGCGTGTGCACGTATCGATTCCACGCGCTTGAATGCAGGTTTCCGATGTTTGTGACTGACTGGGTCTTACTTGAAGATAAAAACATGATAATGACTGAGAATTAAAATCAAATTAGACATCTTGTTCTTTTAAATGATACTGAAGTCCCTAATAATCATATCATGTATCACCTTGTTACAGACATCTCTCGATCATTCTCTTCGCCCATTTAGTTGACGGCTGTTACCGATCAATTGTTGGTACTTTGGTTCTTATGGACAGTAGTTTTTCAATAGATGTCGTTCTTGCGCAATAATTCAGACTTCAGCAATATTTCGTCAAACACAGAACTAAGTTCTACGCCACACGAGACATTTGTTTCATAAGAATAGAGTCTACTTCATTAGAGAACATATCTTCATGATAAAACTTCTGTCAAATAAGACCCATGGGTTGCATTGCTCGCCTCATCAAGAGAATGACTTGTATAAAAAGGGTGTGGATGTCGACAGAAAGATGATACACACCTATACCCGATTGTATGTTCTGTTTGAGGAATAACAATATGCTTAAGTATGTAACATTTTTACATACAAGTAAAGTTATATCTGCTGTGAAAGGTCTTCACATTGATGATTGTATTCACATTCACAAGTCAGGAATCTTCTCAATCTTAGTAGATTCTTTCACAGTGATTGATATTCGATCTATCATACTCACGTGGTCTCATCAAAGCCTGATTTTTATTTACTTTCAAACTTTCTCATCGAGAGATGCAATTCAAAGTTGATTTCCATCATGTCATGAAGAAAACTTTTGAAGGAAGACAGTTTTCGCTGGGCAGGCACTATCATCTAAAATTTGTTTTGATCATTCGCCTTAGTAAATTAAGTATTAAATTTATACGTTCCGAATCAAAATAAGCTAGGATTTTCATTTTTTTTCTTCTATTATCATTTCATCTTGACATTTGTTTTTGTACCCCCGTTCATCATTTCATGTGTTGTAGTGAGACCAAAATGTATGAACCAGTAAAAGTGCTCTTACTCAATATAGGTGGAGTATGGGTTGCATCAACTTGAACATTCATATTCACATCGAATGTCGAAAAAAAAATATGAGAGTAAGAAAATAAAAATGATCAATAAAAAATCTTGTTTAGTTATCAACAATCAAAACATTTCTATTTCAGCATAAGGATATGTAAGTGTGGGTGTAGAAGCTCATCTAATCCGCATCACACGCATATCTTCTTTCATCATTTAAGTTTCATGGTTTGTACGTGTCATACCATTCATCTGTTCTTTTTTATGTCTACGAAGTTCTTACGAATGCAATTAGCACACATTTCTTCACCTGAGAAACGAAAAAGATAATTGTTTTGCCTTACTGAAAGAAAGAAAACATAACTCTTGTTGGCCAGCTTCTTTGTCACGTGAGTTTTATCTACCATACAGCATATGCGAAGAATCATTTTCTAACACAACAAATACACTACTTTCTATTTTTTTTAATTACACTCTGTGGCCAATAGTATTTACATTTGGCTTCACTGTGAAAAAACCATTTGACGAACCATTAAAATTAACTACGTAAGAAGCAAATCAGTGAAAATATAATGACATCAGTTATCTCCCTGACTAATCACATATCAGAGCAATAGATGAAAACAGATGTGACTACTGTTCTAAGTAAAGTTCTATTAGAAGATGATCTTCCCCTATCCGATCCTCCTTAGAGCTGTATATATTTGAGTGTATTTGGCCATCATTTGCTCGCTCAGTAAGCTGACGAGAATCATCCTGGCTCAGACTAGTCCCTGAATCTTGCAAACCTGTCTATTTTTTACCCGAACTATTGTTTTGTTGCTGAGAAAATCCAGGTTTCCAATATCAATGACAAAGTCATAAAAAAAAACAGGTTTGCATTTTGCAATTCTGACAATCTTATTTCACATGAAAAACTGAATGGAGTAATTTGTCTTTTAGCGAAAAATGTTTTTCATTACTTTTTTAGGATACGAAATGCAATGGTACACACCTGACTCTGGTGTGCTCTTCGGGTTCATCACATTGATGATCCTTGTCACTACAAAATGTCGTGAAATCGAAGATATACTGTCTAACCCCTATGGAACAGAAGGCCACGGATCGCATAAATCACTCAATGAACTCCGCGAACGAATGATTGGCCTGCACGACGCGAACAATCTCCACTACTTTGATAACATCACATACGAGACATACAGCGTCGCCCAGCATGACGAAATGTTTGCGCGTTACACCAAAAGAGATATTGGCATTGATATCAATGGTCAGTTAATCAATGGCAGATTCTATAGATTAGAAAATCCGTTAGGACATTTTTCACTACTTGAACCATTGAATGGATGTAATAATGGGACCGCACTAACGAGGCAATCTGCCGAGAAACGGAAATGTATTATCTCTACAAATGCAGGATTCTTCAATACAAAGACAGGTGATTGTCTCGGTAATGTTATAAGTGATGGGAAGATCGTACAAAAGCCTGGCACTCACAATGTTAATTTTGGTATCACAAAAGACGGCAGATTTGTTATCGGTTACATAGACGTCATCCAAAAGTTTGACTTTGATCAATTGGTAGGCGGTGTGATATGGTTGGTCAGGAATGGATTATCTTATGTCAATGTGAGTGAAACTTTAGAAGACATGGCAACTCAGGAAACTGGACCAACTTTTGTTACAGTAAGAGCAGGACGTATGGCTTTAGGTCATGATTTAGTCGGCCGTATCATGATATTGGCCATGGATGGAGAATCAGCGCATAAAAAAGGTCCAAACTTACACGAAATGGCTCAATTAATGATTCAACTAGGCGCTATAAATGCCATCAATTTAGATGGTGGCGGAAGTTGCACTGTAATAGAGAATGGTTCGCTTGTCAACTATGTGAGTGATCGTTGTTCAGGATCGGACATCGAAACTTCCATGTCTAGATGCGAGAGACGTGTGACTACTATCACTTGTATACATAATGGCTCAGAACGGTACAGCAACGAAACGAATTGGAAAACATTAGCGGTGATATTTGCAGCGATAAGTGTAATAATGACGACGGTGATAATAGCGACGATAATTGCATTCGTGTTGCGATTACGAAGATGTAGATCTTATAATGTTAGTGTTTTGAGTTGATCAATACAATGCAGTTTCTATTAGCTAGATCGATGATAACTGATATCATAGATCATGTAGTATTCGTATTGCTTGAGAGAAAACAAATGAAACTATTTTTCGAAGAAGTCATAACTTATCTTTTTTCAACTGAACTATTTTCACTAGTGATCTATTGAAAGATCATTGATTATCATCAACGTTTCCTTAAGTTATGGATCATCTATCCTAAGTATAAGTATGATGATTTTAGCAAATGGTAAACTCTTCGATAACGATGTTCAAATCCCGAAGTTGGAACCTAACGAATTCTGATGAAAATCAGTTTGAATGAAATAATGGTATACGCACACTTGCCCGCAGGACACTTACCCGCCGGACAGATGCCCGCGGGACAGTTGCCCGTAGGACACTTGCCCGCGGAGGACACATGCCCGCAGCGGACACTTGCCCGTGGGACAGTTGCCTGCATGATACTTACCCGCAAAATAAATTCGCACTACTATTCTTCGAAACAAAGGGGACTAATTTCATTGCTTTCAAAATCTTATTCATTTTATCAATTCACTTATATATACATCTTATAAGTAGTAGAATGTAGAAATGGAAACCTACAACAATATGGGTCATTAACAAACGAACTATCAAGTTCAAGAAAAATAAGTTTGACCGATTTGACCAGGCTGTTAATGGCTAGTGCTACTATTTTTCCAAATTTGTTGTCGACTATTTATTCAAAATGTTCAAAACTATTATTTGTTGGTGTTGTTTCACCAAATATTTTCGTCGTCTAATCCCGGCTCAGGTTTGGATTAATTCGACTTCGATCATCGATTGGTCTTTTTTCACCGGAATTCCAAATGTTCGGATGTGCACAACCTAACCCTAAAACCAAGCTATGTAAAACGAGCGAGGAAAACGATATCGAATAGAAAGAAAATGGTTTGTCGAAAGAAATGGAAGAAAGGAATACGAACAGACACAAACACAAGCATGAGGTTTAAGCATTGATAGATCCTTGAGAAGTCATACGATTGTTGGAGGATAGTTTGATATCACTAGTTCACATAACTCCATTGATAAGATGCAGTAATTTTTTAATAATGTAATAAGTTTATAGTTCCTAAATCGTCACCAAGCAAGTATCCTGGTGCATTGTGGACAAGTGTCTCCACATAGGCAACTGCCTGGCGGGCAAGTGTCCACTGCGGGCATATGTCCTCCGCGGGCCAGTGTCCTACGGGCAAGTGTCATCTGCGGGCAAGTGTCCTACGGGCAAGTGTCCTGCTGGCATCTGTCCGGCGGGCAAATGTTCTGCGGGCACGTGTCCTAGATTCTGAAATAATACGTGATTGATAATGTAACCTATCCAGTAGTGATCAGTGATGTTAAATCAACGATAATTTAATGCTTGTACCAGCTGCTAGTTACTAATGCTAGTGTTCTATTTTTCCACTACAGTGGCATTAACATATCGCCACTTTATTCTATCGAAAAATGAAAAAGCGTCCAACACTAACATTGTAAATCGTTATTATTTCTCTTTCAAATTTTCATTTAAGTTATGCGGTTATTGGATCTTCTGGTAAATAGCTCATAACTTAGTTGATGGTTTGTCATCTATCTTCCTGGATATCACTTTTCTTTCCATGTTCTCCTACTATTTAAACTGAGCGCAAGACAATAAAAAATTCATTCACCTTCACCACAACTGAATAACCCGGTAACAACACATATATCAAAAATGTTGTTGCGATACAACAAAAGAAATGTTTCTAAGATATGGCAATAGGTTCGTCATGGTTGCATGCAATCATTCTAGTAAGACAAATGAACTGTTTTTATTCCTATTTGAAACTATTGGACGATTATTATTGAATATCATCTCCACTTTCACTTCTTCTACAAACAAGATAATTACATTTTATTTCTTTTTATTTGAATGCTAAAATTTCACATGAGCTGCATATTACACGATTCATAAATTAGAACTTGTTCACTTATATAAAACTCGATGAAGAGAGCACAGCTTGTGTTCAAGCATTTTGATTATTCATCACCATTTAATAATTGACACCTTTTCAATGCTGTCATTTTTGTTCTATCAATAATCTTGTTTAAAATGACTTGATCAGCTTTATTTAATTTTTCCAGTAATTTATGATAGTGATCTTTATACATGGGATACATATCTATAGCATCATTGTATAAACTACCAGCAAAATTTTTTCGTATTTCTTCATCTCGAAGGCATGAAACAGTTTCAATAATTGCAGTCAATTGAACGATATTGAAGATAGTTTGTTGATCATCTTCTTTTAAACGACTAATAAGTTCTGTCAACGTTTTATGAACTTCTTCGAAATCTTCATCTTCAATTTGCCGTTCTTGAGGTATTATATCATCATAGTTTCGACCATAATGTACTAGAGGCACAGCAACAAAACCGTCGATTTGTGGAATACTGTTCAGAAATAGAAGTGTAGCCAATGTTAATTTTATAATTAGATGCATAGTTTTTTCATTCGTAATGAAACAAAAATCGAACGACAGCACTATATATATATTGACAGATAATGTTTTATGGCTACTATCGATAAATAATATTTGTCTTCTTTTCTTTCATCTCATATTTTCTTCCTTGTGGAACAAAAATAATGAGATTCAACATCTTTAGATAGTGTTTGAATAATAATAGTGCCCCTAATTATTATCCATTCACATAGACAGTTATTACTTTTCATTCATACGTCAAGTGTTCTAATTATCGAATAAAATATAAAAAAAGAAACGTTTGTCTCAAGGGTAAGAGTTAGTTATAATGAATCAGTCAAAAAACAAATGAACCTATCTCTTGAAGGAAGAAACAATTTCAAGCTGCTGGCGCCAACTTTTGGTTTTCAAGGATCAATTATTTCGAGGTAGTATGCATGACATGCTTAATAAAATAGTAAAATAATGATTCAAGAAATACAGAGTGGAATTCGCCGATGGTTTTCGAGTTATTTATTGAAATACATGAATACTCATCAGGATTCTACATACAACAGCCGTGATATTACGACTACCAAGGACGAAACAAGGATTTTAGTGAGGGAGTGGTGTTTGCTAAAAGATGGCTTCCGAGAATTTTGTAAAGTTTTTTTTTCAAGAAGGGAGCTACTCCATCTAATTCTTCGCTCTTGAGCTTTTATTTTCTCCATAAATAGAACTCGCTGAGACTAAGAAAACCTCCGAGTCGTTTCGGGGTGTGGGTGTGGATATGTGTTTGGTTATGGATGTGAGAAAAGAGAATACACCGTCACACCCACATCCACACCCACCCAATTATTTGATATTGATTTGAATAATATAAGAAACCATATGGATGATCAAAACAAAAATAAATGATTACAATTTAAAAGGTAAAAAGATTTAATTATTGCTTGATTCATATTTAATATTTCAATAAATCTAATCAGTTGTTTATCATTTAATGATTCAAACCATTTAATAGACATCCATCTTTTTTTTTTGTTATTGCGATAAAATAAGAATATTTATTTGTTAATATTCATATTCGATAAACTTCTTGATTCATAAATTGATACCATTAGTAAAATATTTTCATTGAAAATAATAATATTTTTATTTTACTTTCTTTATACATCCTATTGTATAATTATTAACGAATGGTTTATAAAATTCCAATTTATAAATTGATTGAAAAGAAATTTCTTTAGAATATTCTTATAATTAATTAAAATATTTAAACGTATAAATATTATTAAACATTGACACTTGATAAAGATAAAAATGAATACTTTTTTTAATCAATTATTTAATGAAGTATATTTTATCAAACCAACATATTCATCTAATTGAAAGAAATTTTTATTATTTGTTTAATTAAAACTAATTAATTTTTATGTGAATACCTATTGTATTCTGTTATATAAATATTGATTAAAAATATGAATCGTTTGTATAACAAGACTAAAATTCATTTTCAGAAATAAAATCAGCCTTTTCCAATGATAAATCATTCGAATACTCAATTTCAGTATTAATACTAAATTCAATTAGATTTGATGCTTCACCATTTATTACTATAATACATGAAAAGCATGAATAATTAATGAATTATATGGTTTTTTTATATTAATCATCGATTAATCGATCAATACTACTCGAACGTACAGGCTCACATTTTCAAATATTTGAGTACTTCGCCTCATGAGTAATCCTGATTATCAAAAAGTTCCATTTGTCTTTCGTGATAATAAAACAGTATTATTCTCATTTGTTTCATTAGATGAAAGAGATACAGAATTTGGGAGCGAAAGAAAACTTCAAATCTTAAAACTTCAAAAGTCATGAAGTCAACTGTTGTCCCTGAATAAACTATATAGCAAGGTCAAGTATTCTGCTGTGACACATGGACATATTCAAGATTATATGGAACGTTTTAGACCGCTAGACTTTGTACAACGACTTATTGTTACATTTTTTTAAAGCTCAATCGTACGTTCTTTTTTAAATGGCTTACGAGATCGATTTCCAACTATTATTTTATGTAAACAGAACATTGATTCAATGTACATGGAAAGTTATGTCCTTTTAGTATAAGCATAATGGGATCTTAAAGCTTTAGAATGAATAGTCCCCAACAGGTTTTATGAATTTCAACCGATGAAACTTATGTTACTGGTTCTCAATAGGCATATAAATTAATAGAAGACATTCGGAGTATAATTTCGTCACCAAGTAGTTCCATTTATTTAAACTCCTGTAGGTTTTATGCTCGCGAAGTGCATTATTAGCTCATCGATGACTGAAAGTGGTTTCATGTTTAATCATCTCGTCATTTACTGAAGAGATTTGGATACAGTAATTTCAATCTTGCATTCGACATTATCACTAAATGATCGACCATAGTTATATCATGAGAATAGAGAATAAGAAGTTTGGACTAACATCATAAGAGAACCGAAGGGCAGTAAAAGCTTATCGAAACAAAAGTTTAGGCAAGTGCATCATCATACCATTGGGATCTAGTGAACAGAAGTTAGCCCACCAATAGTTGCTTAGTGTAAGTTTGCAAACTATTCAAAAAGAAAGAAAAGATTGATCTTCAATGTCTCTTTTTTTTTACCATGAAAACACAAGGTCATAGATATTCTAGATTTTCAAGGATTCTGTCTTCCAGAATCGTATTTCGAAGAGCTGAACCTATATGACTTCTTCCTGCTTTTAAAACTGAAATGTTTTTAACCAACCATGAATGAGGTCTCGAAAAAAATGATCTCAAACCCCATCTCAAGGACCTATCTTAATCGAATGAACCAGTGCATTGTTAGTGATGGATAGTGCTTCGAAAAAACAACACAAGAACCAATCTTTGAATATTTCTCGAAGGGAGCAGTCACAAAATTCTCGTAGTGTCTCTGGTATATGTACCAAACAAAAAGTGAATATTTCGTTTTTATAGTCTGCTTCTGAAGAGATATCACACATTTTTAGTGAGTCTTTGTTGTAGGAGCTCGCTTTTTGCAGTAAAATCATATTTTTGAACTTTGATCTAAGATTTCAGCGATCATTTACAAACTAGAATGAATAAAAACTAACTACTGCATCGGGCTTATTCAAGTAAAAACTGATCACGAACTTTTCTATAATATTTCACATTTTTCAATGCCATTATATCAATCGTTAGGATGCGTGTTGGTATCGATTCCTTATTCATTGACGACCATAAACGCCGCTGCATGCCTACACATCTTGTAGCTGAATGTCTGAAGGTTACTGTACATATACGAAATGTCACAAGCATGGAGTTTGAAAATCATAGAAATCCAATGCGTCGTATTTTAAGTATGTATTATCAGTCTTTTTTTGAGAGGAAAGAAAGTGTTCTTGTCTTTTTATTTTACTCTTCATTTATGCGAACTTCTTAATCAAAATAAAATTATTTTGTACAAAAAGAAAAAAAAAACATATCCATGAGTTAAGTTTCATTGAAATTTTTTTGCTGTTCTTGTATATATATCAATGCTTTTGTAAATTTATCCATAATTTTTTCATCATTTTTATCCATTTCTTGTTCACATGCATTCTCAATACTAGGTCGAATAATGCTATCGTTAAGATATTCTTTGAATGCATTTGTTGTTTTTGAACTTTTTCTTATATTTTTCGTAGTTTTACTTAATTCATCAATAAATGTAATTATCGATTGTTGTAATAGATGATTATCAGTTTGTTTTCTTCGAATTTCTCCTTGTAAATTATTGTGTTGATTTTGTATTGTACCAAAGGTAACATTAGAAGATCTGAATATTTCACAACATCTACCAAAAACTTGAGGATTATTCATTACTTGTTCATATTCATCAAGAAGTTTTAGTTCACGTTCGATAGCAGGACGAAGTAATTGACAAATTTCAGTATTTAGTTTATCTTTATTTTGCTCAAACACAGTCCATTTATCTGATGCATATAAAATTTTTTGTACAATATCCAATGTTTGTGATGTATGTTCTCCATTAGTGGAATTAAGTTTTTTAATAGTCGATAGAAATAAATTATTAATTTCTAATACTTCCTTTTTAACAACACTATGAAGAGTATATGGTAAAGCTAAACCTAATGTATCTATTATTGGTATATTGGGTAATATATCATCCATAGTATTGAGAGCATATGAAACTATAGCTTTACTGTTTCCGTCATAAACATGTTTTATAAGTGGTGTATGGCGTTGAACAATTTGAAATATTTCTTTTGTTTTTCCTCCAAATAAAGAATCATTATCTAACGTACCTAAAAATTGATTAACCATCATCGATGTACCTTGATTTATTATCTGATCGAAATCACCAGAAATTAAAGCTTCAATATCTTTATATCGTTCTGGTATTTGTTTAAGAAAATCAATCGTATGATTATCAATACCTGCTATATTCATACTAGTTAAAGCGGTATTTGTTAAAACCTCAATAGTAAATCCTTTTGTAGATAGTTTATGAGTACTAATAGCAGCAACACCAACTATTCGAGTTTGTTCTATTGATGCAATTGGTTTAACAAGGTTACTTACAGCTGGTGTTATACATAATAGATTTAATCCATAAGTAATTACTTTTTGTTTGTAATAATTAACAAGATCAAAATCAGCAGTAATTTTTGTAGCTAAAAAAAATAAAAATAAAAATATTTTGTTCTTACGTAATTGTTTTTTATTTTAATGTATTTACCAACAGCTGCATAAACATCAAAAATTCCATTAAGAACCATTGATGTTCCTAATTTCCACTGACCAGCAACACATAAAAAGGCTCCACCAACAATTTGTGCAATACCCATAACAAAAACAAATATTGTTTTCCACCAACATCGTTTAGCTTCAATTTCAAATATAAATACCCACACTAAACCTTCACTATACCATTCTTGATATTCAGTATGAATTTCACTTTTAATTGCTTTAAAATGTGTATTCTCTAAACTTGATAATGTTACTTCCCAACTTTCACTACGACAGGTTATTTTATGTTTATCTTCATCAAATTTACGTAATTGATCTCGACTAGCTTCAAATATAGAATGAACATGTTCGAGATAGACAAGTTCAGCAATACATGATCTATCAACAGATGTTTGTGATGATGAGTCATCATGAATTTGTAGAAGTTTACGTCTTTCAATTTCATTACAAAGTAATGTTACAGCTATATTCAATTCTTTTAGAGCTTCATTTATTGAATTTTGATCATTTTTAATATAGCATGATACCATATTATAATGAAGAATAAAATCTTGTTTATCAAGATTGGCTGCTTGTTGATATAATGTTAATGCACGCTTTTCTCTTTCAAATATATTTTTCATACACAACATTTTAATACCAGCCATTATAAAATATTTTGGATGAACAATCAAGTGACGAAGAGCATCACATGTTGCATTAGCTATATGTTCAGTATGACGTTGTTCTTCATCTCTATGCCAAGGAAATAGAAAACATGGTTGTGATAATGTTTGTTTCATAGTTGCAATAGCTCTGTCAAGTTTTTGTTCTATTTCATTTGCAAATGCTGGAAAACGTTGATCAGCTGTTGATAAATCTTCATCACAAAAAGAACTCCATAATTCACGAAGTGAACCGAAACCTGGTTGTAATATATCTTCAGTAAATGAAAGATCACCTTTACGTGAATAAACAACATTAAGAAAACGGACAAGAAGACGATCTTTTGCTTCAATTCGATTAACTTCTTCAATTGCTTCATTCATATTATCTCGTTCAAATTTATCTCGAGCTTGTTTCCAATTTTCTACTATTTGAATCTCATTCATTGATCTATATGATATCATATTATCATATTCTTTATAAATAATCAATCGAGCTGAACCTGGTTGTCCTTGTCGTCCAGTTCGACCAAATGCTTGTTGTTCAACACGTGAATTATTTGGCATAAATGTAACAATTACATGTAAACCACCACGATCAACAACAGATGTTAGAACTTTTAAATCAGTTCCACGTCCAGCTAAATTTGTTGCAACAATAACATCACATGGACAAACTTCTTCTGGCTTTGTATGTTCATCACTTCGAAGATAAAGTTTTATATTTGAATGTTGAGAACTTAAATAAGATTGAACATCATTTGCATCACGTATAGTTTGACAAATAATTAATATAGCTCGACGATTAGTAATAGCAATTGTATGACATTCAATACGAATTTTTTCCAACCATAATTGACGATTATCAGCAAATTGATCTAAAATATTTCATTATGGTAGAAAATATTCATATAGTTTAAATATATCTTACTTGGATAAATATCAAATACACTATCCATATATTTTGGTATAATAACAACATCAATGTTATAAAGTGTTTTTATAAAATTTTGTGCATCTTTTCCACCTAATGTACCTGTTAAACCATATAAATATTCATATTTTTTAAATAAAGTAACATTTGAATAAAATGAATCACACATATGTTCAGGTGTCATACGTAAATTATGTTTTAATTGAAGAAATTGATGAATACCATCACTCCAATGCATATTTAGTTGCGATACACCTGTATGTAAATAATCAACAACAACAATTTCGTTTTCTTTATTAATTATATAATCAATATCAAGTTGTAATTCATAAAGTGCTCGTCTTGCACTTTGAATCCATTTTGGTAATTTAAAAAGAATATATGATCGACGAAATTCAGAAAATTCAATTAATTGTTTATCATTTAATTTTTCACGAATAAAACGAAGAGCATCAACTAAAATATATAGTACACTTCAATAAAATTTCTTTTCTTTATATTTCTTTAGATTATTACAGTTTGCTTGTTTTTTGATACCGAAGTACGTAATGAGAAAGTGTAGATTTCGCTGCCGTACATGATATATTAATAAGAAAATAACAAATAAAAATCAAATAACAGAAGGGTACAAGTGCGGATGTGCATAGGAAGATTTCATGCTCACACTATTGTTTAAGAAATAAATTATGCTCGAAAATTTGAGTGATCAAAAATACTGTCACTGTAAGAAGGTTCTGAACATACTGAAGGATGATTTGTTGCTGTAATTGGATACGGGCTTCGAACGACTTCCCTAAATGAATGCCAAATTCGATTGCCTAATAATGATATGTGGTTTTTATATGTCATATTTACATGTTCTATGTTTGTTTGAACCTCAATAAGAGCACATTGAATTCGAAAACTCGAGATTCAGAATCGGCTAACAGAAAAAAATCAAACCTAAACATCTATGAATAATTGTCATAACTGTGTTTTATTAGTCAGACAGATAGAAGATTGTAGTGAAAAAAATGTCATCTTTTTTTTGTCTTTGATGTGTTTTTGTTACTTGATTTCTATTTGTTATATAATTAAATACAGTGAAATCTGCACTTTCTCACTATATATTCACTATTGAAAAAACAACAGACTGTAATATTCTAAAACACGAAAGACAAGGAAGAAGAAGATTCGATTGAAATATAGTTGCAGTACTTTATTTTATTATCAAATATTTTAACTAATTAATTATTTTACCTTTAACAAAACCATTTTCTTGTTTTATAACGAATTCATTATTTTCAGTAATATTATATTTTTTAAAAAATATAAAAATAAATTTCAATATAATATTTAATGATTTATAACCAGGTGTTAATGATGCTAATTGTGTAAAATGTTCACGTTGATCAATAAACATACTACCAACTTCATCCACAATAACTATTGAATAAGGTCGATCACCACGTACTTCTGTGTTTAAATAAAATTCAGTACGAAGTAAATCACCAGCAAATTGATTTATTGTTCCATAAATAATATCAAACCTGTAATTTGGAGTTTCAGAAGGATCACGACAATTATGTCCAACTGTAAGATTAAACATTTGATAGAAAGGTGCGAATTCTTGAGCATCACGTTGAGCAAGAATCTCTGATGTTGTAATAATATCTACATATTTTTCTGATGATGCTAATGATAAATAAACAGCCACTAAAAAGATTAAGAGTATAAAAAGTTTATTATATTAAAACAAAATATTCTTTTTCTTACACATTGCTACAATAATTGATTTACCTTCACCGGTACATATTTGAGCTAATCGTCCTCGATTTTTATGTTTACTTTCAATGAAAAGAAGAAGTGATAAAATTTGAATATCTCTTGGTCGCACTTGTTTAAATATATAAACACCTTGTATAATAACAGCTATTTTATAAAATTCATCATAATAATTTTGTTGATTTTGGATATCAGATGATGTCATTCGAATTGTTTCCTGTTCATAATAATTCATTACTTTTTTATATTGTTGTTTCAAATTGTCAAGATTTATAAATGAATTTACTTGACGTAATTCTTGAAGTAGTGTTTGTAATGATTTATTTTTACCTTGTTCATTAACAATTTTGTTTAATTCATCCATCCATTTATTTGAAGACTTTTTGGTTATATTATTTACAATACGTTTAATATGTGATTGTAATGAGATTCGATTTACAACTATAGTTTCAACAATAAATAAAGCTTTTTTAATCGATGAAAGATTATTAAAATTTTCTGGATTAGTAAATGTACATCGAAGCGATTCTACAGATAATTGATCCCATTTAAGTTGGTATAATTCTTGAAGATTACCAAGTAGTCTTGTTTGATATTCTTCTAATGATTCTTCACTAGGAAGTCTATGAAATGTACTCGTTGACATAGTTAATGATGAACAAAATGAAAAAAATTGGTCAGTTAAATTAGTATCTTTAATTGACGATCGATCAAACATACTAGAACATCTAATGAAAAAAAAAACAATATGAATGTTTTTATTTAGTATAGAATAAAAAAATTTTTTACCGATCATTTTGTGATTCTTGTTCAGATAGATATGAATTAAATAAAGTGGATGACGTAGAAACTGTTGTTGGAATTGTTACTGGTGTAAAATCGAATAAGATCTTGTTTTCATTATTATTATCCGATGGAGATTCAACTGCATTCATGAGACAATCGACCCATAATTCAGCTGGAATATGACTTGATTGTATAACTTTAAGAATAGTTTCTACTGGCAATAATGGGACGATAATAACATTATGTGTAAAAAGTTCTCGTAAATGCTGTAGAATATTATTTAACTGTGTTGGCACTGACTGTTCATATTTAGTGGTCCATTCGATAATAATTTCTAATAGACGTGTTTTTTGTTCATCTGTCCATGATTTTAATACAAGTAATCGTTCACAGATAATGTCAAAATGATTATTTGAGTTATTTGACGTAGACATTTTTGATTTGAAACTCTCGCTTAGGGAATGTGTGCTGTATTGTTGAAAAAAAGAAAGTGAAACACAAAACAAACAGAAATGGTGTTTTTTAAGGTCTTTATTAACTCTCATCAGTCTGAATCATGTAGAAATTTCCAAAGTATGCAATTATTGTCATAGGAAGTCTATATGATTAATCGTTCGATTGAAAATGATTCAGAAAAAATCTAAACTTTTCTAATCATCGTAGATGTACGTCCTTCGGGGGCGGGTGTGGGTGTAGATTGTGTATGGAAATAAAATATACATCCACACCGATGCAATGATAATTCGTTTTTTTAATCATAAAAAAAAGTACAAATTTTTTAGTGTGAAAAATGCCGTTTTAGGAAAATTGTACCATTCAACACTATCTAAAAACCTTGTTTTGTTTATAAAAAGTCTTTTGCAAGAAATTAATAAATAGATATTCTCACTCAGCTCGTCGAGTTCTTTCTAAGTATATAAGGAGAAACAAAAACCTTGTCTTAATTTTGCGTTTCATACACTTTAAGTCCTTAAAAATTCACAAATATGATGTTTAGATAGGCGCTAGATAGTGACAGATAGGGCACTCAGTGAATCCTTGCAAGCTACAAACATGATATCTAGCCAGTTCATGAAAAATGATACCACTAATTTGACGATTCTAGTAAGATAAGACACTTACTTCTATCTTTTGTTATTAAAAAAAAACTAGATATATTTACAAAAATCCTCACAAATACGCTCGATGAGACATGTTGAAACTATCTATACTTTTTCATCAAGTTTGAAAAAAGAGTATACACTTGAAATTTGAAAATTTCTTTGAAAAAGAAAAGGGAGTTTGTAATTTTGCATGCTACGTATTTAGTCATTCAATTTTTTTACTATTTTCTGTAGCAAAATATTGATTGAATCGAAATAAAAACTATTATATATTCATGATCATCTAATCATGTTCTACCGCATCACCGTATCTTTCAGCGATACATGATGAAGAAACGACTGACTTGAAGGTTAAAATACGAATCAACTTATGATTCTGACTAGAACATCATGTTCTCTATTTATAATGATCAAATGATTACAATGAAGTGAAAAGAATTAATCCTGATATTCCTGTATGTCTACTTTATTATTCGCATCAATCATTTATTTATCATATTAATTAGTTTTATAAAAAAATAATTTATGCATATTGTTCATGCAAATCTGTAGTGTTTGAGAATATCACCATCTGTTTTTGTTTTATTGAAAATAGAAGATCTTCTTTCTTGAATATTTTATGATTTATCACATGTGCATTACAAAAAAAAACAAACTGTATGATAAAAGAAAAAGAATAATAAAAAATTTCTTATACAGGCACTTTTTGTTGTTGTTGTAATTCTTCCCTGTGTACTTTGAGCATAGCGTCGCGATGTACAGCTTCAAAATCAACTTGATCAACAAGAAATTTAGTTATATGATCAACAGCAGATTGAATTGTTTCTTGTACTTGTGATAATTGTAAACCATTTTGATGACTTTCTCGATTTAGATGATCAAGACGTTGTTCAACATATGCATCTAAAATATGAACAAAAATAATAAATAAATCTTAGAAAAAAAAAAGTTGCTAGGCTCTATTCAATTTTCATACGTTGGAAAATATTGAGTTTCTCTTACAGTCATAGATAAACAGCAAAATTTATTTTTACGCTTTTGAATACATTACTGTACCTGAAGATTGATCATATTCTACATTTTTTTTATTAGTATCAATACATTTCAAGACTCCTTTGATTTAGATTGTGTTGCATAAAAATATAATTTCATACTTACTCTTAATTCCAAAATAAAAATTCAATGCATCATGAAGTCGTGCTTGTAATTCAATTAATTGTCTTGTATCTTTAACTCGAGCAACAGCATCAAGTCTTTGTTCTAATTTACCCATTAAACGTGTTTTTATTTCATAATATGTATATAAGGTTTTTCGATAAGTACTCGCTAATTGTGTATTAAGTAGAAGAGCTTTGTCAATAGATATCTAAATTTATTATTGATAATTATTTTTGTTTTCTTTTTTAGTAATTTTACTTTTTTATCAGACAAATAATTTGAACGTTCTTGAAATAACTGTTTATTTAATGAATCGCTATTTGATTGTCGTTGTAAACATTCTTGTAAAACTCGTACAACTTCTTGTTCACCGGCTTGAACTAGACCAAAATTATAACTTTCATGTGCTAATTCTGCTCTAGAATAATCGAAAATTATGTTGTTTTTTTTTCTTCTTTCAAATGAATAAGATTTGTTGAACAACATACTCAGCTGTTTGAATTTCACCACGAATTTTAACTGTTAATGTTTCCATCATAGAACGAGATTCATCCATTTCAACTATGTGTTTTTTCATATAATTCGTTTGAGTTATGATATGATTGAGTGTTGTTTTAAGGTCATGTGCTGTGGTCTATTGAACATAAAAAGAAAATTTCTATGAAAGAAAATGCTCAAGATACACTTATAGAATTCAAATGTAAAAAAAAACGAAAGTATTTTACAATAGACAAGTAAGTCTAAGGATAATTTTCTGCAGCTCGACAATCATCATGTAATCTCTAAGTTCTTAAAGAAAGATCTTGTATCATGTATTTGTTTTGAAAAAATTGAAGTGACATTTGTCTTAAGAAATTTTCTCTGCTCTCTTCGACCTAAAAAACATGAGATGAGATTGCAAACATCAAATCGAATAAATATGCAGTGTTAGTGTGAATGTTGAAATAATAACAGTGAGTCACTGATACAGAATCCACTGTAGTACTAATTACATTGACATCCGTTTTCGTTGTAACACTGCGTCAGTGATCAGTAAACTGAAACTGTACTTCCTTATCAAATCTATGAAACTAAGGAATTCATACATCTAAAGTCACTAATCATCTTTACGCGACTTACAATGAAACAGAAAAACAAACAATTCAATGCTAACTGTAATATAAACTTTCGTTTTCATTTTACATCAGACATGAGTAAATACTAGCTTGCAATTCGAATTTTATCCCACTGGTTTGTCAGAGATTCATTTTAAGTGACATAAACTGAAATGGAACTGTGTCAAATATATAACATAGGATAATATCAAAATTTCAGAAATTCAAATTCATATAAAAACAGCTGAATGGTCAATATCATGTCAGTTAGTTGATATAGAACTGTCGCATATCAAATCCAAACATAAAAACAAAGGATGTCTACATCATAATATTAATTTATTGAAATTATCTTACTGATGCTTGTTCATGTTGATTACTCATATTTGCTTCTGCTTGTACTAATTTATCTTTATCTTTGACATAATTTTCATTGGTTTCTAATAAATTATGTTTAAGTGATCCTAAACTTTCTTTTGTTTTGACATCATCTGTTTCTAAATTTGTTACATTATCTGTTAATGTATCAACTTTAGTTTGTAAATCTGTTGTTACACGTGCAGCCTAAAAATAATTTTAAATGAATAATATGCTTTTTGTTTTTTTGTTATCCAACTAACTTCTGTAGCTCGAATCGTTTCTGCTTCATTCAACGAATCAAGTTCACGTTGATCATTATCTAAATGTTTATCAAGCATAGCAATTATTGTTGATTCTTCATGAATTTGTCTTCGTAATGATTCCATTGTTGCCTTAATGAAACAAAAAAGAAATATTAAAGTCGATAAGATCAACAAAAAAAAAAAAAGAAATGATTTACTCTCATTCCATCTTCTTCTTTTTGAAGTTTTTCTGTTTCACGTTTCATATCCGTACTAATTGAATCATTTGTATAAAATGCTCGTTGTAAATTTTCAGTAACTGTTCGTAACATTTCTGCATCACGATCACGTTGTTGATCAAAACGTGCTAATGCTTTTTTATCACGATCAATTTGTCTATAAATATTAATATGTTATTATAACCTCTCTCACACAATAAAAAAGAAAAATTGTGGATCTTTTATTAAGATTTAACGCAGAAACTTTTTCGAAGATTCATCTCTAATATGTATATGAGCTTAGAAATATTCAATCTTAATAGTGAAAAAAAAACAACAAAAATTTTCCGTTCAAACGAAATTTTTCATAGATTACCCTCAAATACGTCTCGAGTAGGTCAAAAGTTTTGATCATTTGTTACTAATTCATGTTCACATTCATCAATGGTTAAAGTAATTTAAACATTTGAAACGTCATCGTTAAAAAAATGAAGTTTAATATTAATCGATTTCTTTTGCGCTTGTACTGTTTATAGCTGACACTTTTTTTTACTGTAGTTGGCAACAGCTATTTTTTCTTTAAACAATTCTTTTCTCTTCTACTCTTCTATATACACTTAAGAACAGATCATAGTAAATTGTTTTTTTTTTGCAAGATTTGAGATGATCTTTTATTTTTCGTTGCTTTATGGAACTGATTGTAAACCCTATACTTTTTTGTATAAAATAAAAGTTTTGAACAATCGTGCTGTTAGTTATCTCTGATCCGGATTCGATTGTGAAACGTCGTACTCTTGCATGAGAATCTTCTATGATGGATAGGGAGATATGAAAAACTTTTTTCCTAAAAGAACATTACATACATATCAATTTTTTCTAATTTTCTTTCATCTTCATCAATTACTGTTAATTTTTCTCGTTCTTTTTTAACAATTTTATCTAATTTTTCTTCACGTTTAGTAGCATTTGCTTGTAAGACATCTAATTCTTGTTTTCGATGATCTTCACGAATTTTTTCTTCTAATCGAGCTTGTTCAAATTCAGCATTTAAACGTTCAATGTCATGTTGAATACGTTCACGTTCATTTGTAAGTGCTGCTAACTTTAAAAAAATAAATAAATAAATCAAAGTTGAAAAAAAAAACATAATAATAAAAAAAATAAATAAAAGACAATTACTTTCAATTTATTACTTGCTATATCAGTACGTGCAGTATCTCGTTTTTTAACTTCTTCTTCATAAGCTCGATCATTTTTTTTAACTGTTACTTTTGCATCATGTATTGTTTTTTGATAAACTTTATGTTGATCAATTGATGCTTGTAATTTAGTTCTATATAATAGAATAAATAGAAAGAAAAAAAAAATGATTTATAAATTTTCAACTAACGTTATTCGTTGAAGGCCTTTTAATGCTTTATCAATTTCACCACGAATTTCATCACGTTCAGTTCCAGCACGTTGATTAGCTCGTGTACATTTATCTAATGTATCAGCATTTTTTGCTCGACATAACATTAATTCATGTTCAGTTTCTTTTAATGCTTCATCAACTTTTGTTATTTCAGTTAATTCTGTTTGAACTTTTTCTGTTATTAATGGAATTGTTTGACGAATATCATTAACTTCAATTTCAAGTTGTCGATGCCACGTTTGAGATAGATCAATTTTTCCAAGGACTTTTTCAGCTAATCGAGCATTATAAGCAATATGCCATTGAAGTTCTGTAATATCGGTTATACAAGCATCGTGTTCTAAGAAAAACAAAAATACAATCAGTATTATGATCGTTTTAGTAGAATTTTCATCTGCGTATCAGCTATTCACGGATTCAATGTGAAGAAATGAATTTTTCTTGAGATATTGTGTAAACTTACTTTTTACAAGATTTAGAGTATGACTAATGGGAATTTCTTAGAATATGAAAACAAATGGAATTATATCCAAGAGCGACTTTTCTTACATTTATTTGTGTATATTGACTATGAAAAAATAAAAATTAGAACATCATTTGGCTGTTTGTAGAATAAATATTATTCAATTAAAATTCAAACGAACCTTTTTGTACAGCTAAAGGTAAATCATGTAATCGTTTTAATCGCCAATGATCAATATTTTCTTTTAATCTTTCTCGAACTTGTTGTTCATGTGAACATAAATGAATTAAACGTAAACGTTCATGATCAAGTCGAGCCAAAAGTAATAATACTTCATCAAGTATTACATCTTCAAGTATATCATGATGTGGATGTGGATCAGCAATATGACCACTACGACCAATAATTTCAAGTTGTTCTGTAGAAGATGGCATTTGACTAAATGATACTTCACGTTTGATTGTTCCTTTTTCTTTATTTAAAAAAAAAAAATAAATCATATACTTCGTTCAAATTAGTCTGATTTTATACATACTTATTTCTGCATCTCTAAAAATGAGAAATAAATTGTAAGTTTTGTTTTTTTTTTTTTTTTTATAAAATAATAAAATAAATTACTTTCGTTCAATAGCATTTTGAACTAATTCAAGATGATTAATAGCTTTTGTTACACATGTTGAAAATATTCGACTAAGAACACAACTTTTCTTTCGATGAAAATCATACTCAGGCCAATTTGCTGGTAACTCAAAATCATCATCTTCGACATTATCTAAATATCAATAGTTTAAGCTGTTTGTAAAAAGGTCACAAGCGGCAGAAATTTTAGTTTAAATATCACACAAGTGATGAGGGTCATTTTCGTTTTTGTCATAATATTTTCAAAATAGTCTACCCAGAATAAGAGATACTAAATTTCTATAAATCGGTACAAGATATTTCATTCTTTTGAATCAATAACAACATTTGTTGACAAACTGTTTTCTTGTAAGACTTCTGTTACTCAACAATTAAATTTTAATAATGAAATACATGACAAGAGCGTTTATTCGATTTCTTCTTGGTCAAAGCATTATTTTGAATTAATCTGAGAATAACAACTTTTTCTTTCACAAAAAAATAAAGATTCTATCAATTTTGTTCATTTTTTATCGTCTTGTAAAAATCAATAGTAATAATCTTACGAATCTGTTCAATTGGTTTTTGATTCTCAATTCCACCTAAGCCAGAGTCTGATGAAGCTGATGAATGTGGATTATTTTCTAAAAATTCAATATAATCGATTTCTTTATAATAGATGGCTAATTAACACACCTTTATCGGTCATGATTGATAATGCACCTAATAAGAAAAAGTTTTCATTAATGTCAAACTACGTCTAACATTGCTTAGCAACTTGTTTTATAGATGTCACTTTAATATTTATGCCGATCTTTTTATTTTATCTATAGAAAAAAAAAATATCAAAATATTTAGTTAAAATTAGTCAAAAAAAAACATGCAATTTAAATATTTCTATGAATGCAATAACATTAATTATGATTTGTTCATCAAATCCTATTCATAATTAGAACAGCTTAACAATCATTATTAGGTTTTTATTTGAAAAGCAAAAACCATGCCAGTCTCGCTAATGTTAAGTATATTCAGTTTAGCCATGTTTTTTGGCTCATATCTATCTGGTCTTATTCCACTGGCATTTAATCTATCTGAAGTAAATTATTTTATTTTACACTTTGAAAACAAAATAAATACAATGAAAAATTTTTTAGACTAAAATGCGTTATGTCACCGTACTTGGTGCAGGTCTTTTAGTTGGTACAGCACTTGCCGTAATCATTCCTGAAGGTGTTCATGCTTTATATATAAGTGAATTAGGTACGAAGAAAAAAGAATAATTGAATATATTTATTTCTATCTTAGAAACTACTCATGATAAGATACAATTGGATAATAAAATTATTCATCGACATTTGAATCAAGTTGCTAATGAAAATAAAGTAGATCAAGCTAAGATTACATCTAATATTCATCAACATGAAGTTGATCCATTGAAAAAATCAAGTACAGATAAACATTCCGATGCTACTCATTCAGCTATTGGTATGTTAATATTAGAGATGTGAGAGATCATCACTAAAGGGGAAAAAAATTCGATCTTGCATATCTCAAGTCAATCTATATTTGAATTATTTCGAATTTTATTTAATCTAGGTGTAACTTTAGTTCTTGGTTTTGTATTTATGTTAGTTGTTGATAATTTTAGTTCAAAACTTTTTCATAATCATGGAAGTCAAGGTTAGCATTATAATTAATTAAATACTATTATCTATTGAATTTCTCTTTGCTATTATTAGTTATTGATTCATCTGGTTCAGTAATTATATCAAAATCAAAAGCAACATGGACAGCTACATTAGGTCTTGTTGTTCATGCAGCAGCTGATGGAATTGCTTTAGGTAAATAAAAAAAAAAAATTATAGAACATTAAAAATATTTCATATTCTATTGTTAAATATATAATTAAAGAATTTTTGAAAGATGTATACCATTGCTATCTTCATATTCTATTTGAGGACTTTTTTTTTCGATTAATGTCCGATATCGAATTTCAAAATAAAATATTATTTCTACTTAGATGAAAATAATTTTTTTTTCTGTAGGTGCAGCATCAGCAACAAGTCGATTTAATGTTGAATTTATAGTATTTATGGCTATCATACTTCATAAAGTAATATATACATGAAATTGAAAAATGTGATTTTTCTTACTTTGAAAATTCTTGTTCATAGGCTCCAGCTGCTTTTGGTCTTGTTTCATTTTTGATATCTGATGGTGTTGATCGTAAACGTATTCGACGTCATTTATTAATATTTTCATTAGCTGCTCCATTAGTAGCCATTATTACTTATGTTGTATTAAAAAGTGTATGTTTATTATTCGTTATTGTTTTTTTTATTTACAACAAAAAATAATATATATATTTGTTTGTTTGTATTTAAAGAGAATACAGGGTTCATATTCAATTGATTCAACTGGCTTAGCAATGTTATTTAGTGCGGGTACATTTCTTTTTGTTGCTACGGTACATGTTCTACCTGAAGTTCAATCTCATTATGATGATAGACAATTTCGTGCCATTGAACTTCTTATTCTCATTATTGGTTGTTGCTTTCCAATCATTCTTTCAATGGGACATAAACATTGATTTTGCTTTTTTTCTTTATTCTCTTTGCGAAATTTTTTCATAAGATATTTATTTAATCTGAATCAAATTTGACATTTCTCTATTTTAGATTATTATTATTATTATTATTGTTATCGTGTTTTTTTTTGTTAATGGCAGATGATATTTATGTAGTTGAAAAAATTCTTGATAAAAAAATATTAGACAATGGTCAAATAATATATCTTTTAAAATGGTTTGGTTATAATGAAGAAGATGCAACATGGGAACCAGAAGAGAATATTTTTTGTAAAGATTTAATTGATCAATATGATTATCATAGAAAATTTGAAGATACTGAAGAGAATGTAGTAGGCTAATTAAAAGAGAAGTTTGTTTATTTTTTGTTTTATGTAAGATATTTATTTGTTTAAATAGAATGATGAATGTAAACAAATTCTCAGGGAAATTTGTAATGAAATTGAAACAGGTAATTATAGAGATAAATGAAATTACTTTATATATTAAAATAAAACTATGTTTAATCTGTAAATATGTGTACTGTTTATTTATCGCTACTTTGACCTTGTTTTCGTCATGGCTGAGTGATTACGTTGTTTGACACGTATTCATAAGATACTGCGTGCACTTTTTAGTATCATCAGCCGTCGAATGACTTGGGATAATTCACTAACAGCTGTTTGTTGCTGACCTTTCATTTGATACTATGTTGATCACATTGTGATATAAACTTGCTCTTGTAGTTTTTTAATATGTATGAGAAGTCCAAGAATTCTGCATTAGACCTGTCTTTTGTCCAGAGCTACAGCTAGTCATAGTTGTAGGAAAGCCAAGGGTATTCTTTCTTGTGTTTATTCGTATAAAACTTGTTGATGCTGTTTAGCCATGAAGCTCGCACATACAATAGGTTGTTACTAAGAATAAAAACGACTTTGAAGTCAAATTATGATTTAACTGAATTATTCGAGAACAATAAGAGAAAAAGAACTATTATAGATTTTGCTTACTCTCAATAGATTCTACTTTATGACATAAGTTCCGGTTCGAATAGCTTTTTATTATTTCGAGAATTTTTCTATCAAACTATAGCAACTCTATTTCGTACACAATTAGTGTTAATATTGAATTAATCAATTATATTATATCAATTTTGAATTCTTTTAGTACTTCCAAAATATCAATCAATGAATGTGAGCATTGATGAACAAGAAGCTGTATGTTTTCAATTGTCTACTGATATATCCACAACAACTACAACAACTGATAATTCTGAAATTCTTGATGAAAATTTAATTAATGATATTTCATTATCTAATAATCTTCATAGTAAGATAGAAAAAGATCTCAAACTATTGATTAATTCATTTATTTTATTGAATAGATGAAGAAGAAAATGGTACGTCTACTGAAAATGGTATATAGATATATCGTTAATCTTATATTTTAAACATGTTTTCTTTTCTTTTTTTGTTACTTATAGGTGAATTACAATTAATAAATAACAGTCCAGAGGTAAATTAAAAATAAAATGAAAAACAAACTAATTTATATTTTTTAATAATAATATTTCTTAGTCAACATATGATTCTAATCATAATGGTAAACGAATCGATACAATGCCATTAATGCGAAAGAAAAAATTTCGATCTGATTCGAATGATAATACTAATGATATACATAAAAAAGAAATCGATATAGACAGTAATATAATAGATTATCTTGCACTTGAACCTGAACGTATTGTATCAATAACACGTTCACGTACATCAACACAAGATCTTGAATTTTTATTAAAATGTACACGTTATCCAACAAAATTATTTTTTATATCAAATGAAAAAGCAAAAGAACTTATACCTAGTTTATTAATTGATTTCTATGAAAGACATATTAATTGGTTTATTGATCGACCATCATCAAGACAAACATTACAACGACGAAAATCTTAGATATATATATTTTTTTTGTATTTTTTTTTGTTTTTCTTGTTATTATTATTCAGTTATAAAATTTTTCTTTTTGTTAATTTTGTATATGAAAAAAAAAATACAAAACAATGAAAGATTTTTCTATATAGAATAGCTTTTCTTTTTCTAATGGTTATCAAACATGTGATTATATACATATATATATATATATAGATAGATATTTATTTTTTTAAAACGAAATGAAATTACTTCAATGCATGTCTTTCTTTCCATTACGAACATTTTATCGTTATACAAATAATACACGTTTACAAGTATTTCAAAATGCTACACAAATTGTTGATCCTGAACGTATTCGAAATGTTGGAATTATTGCACATATTGATGCAGGTACTTAGACAATATAATGAATGAAATATTTGAATTTTTTTTGTCAAGGTAAAACAACAACAGTTGAACGAATGTTATATCATGCTGGATTAATTCGATTTATGGGTAATGTTGATGAAGGAAATACAACAATGGATTATATGGAACAAGAGCGTGAAAGAGGTATAACAATAACATCAGCTGCTATAACAATACCATGGAATAAACATCGTATCAATCTCATCGATACACCCGGTATGTTTCATGTGTACAGGTGAGTTAGTAATAGGAAACAGAAAAAGAAGAAATGATTTTAATTTTCCATAGGACATGTTGATTTTACAATTGAAGTTGAACGATCATTACGAGTTCTCGATGGTGCTGTTGCTATTCTTGATGCATCTGCTGGTAAATACAATCATTATATTAAATAATAATAAAAAGTTAATAATGATGATTTTAGGTGTTGAAACTCAATCATTAACTGTATGGCGTCAAGCAAATCGATATCATGTACCTCGTTTTATCTATATTAATAAAATGGATAAACCAACAGCTGATTTATCAATGTGTCTTGATTCAATTCGACAAAAATTTGCTGCTGAACCGTTACTTTTACAACTTCCACTTGGTCATGGTAAACAATTTACTGGTATAATTGATCTATTAAATGAAATAAAAATTTCATCTAATGATCAAACAAAATTTTCATCAGAACTTTTAACTAAAGAACGATTAAAACTCATCGAAAAGTTAGCTGATATTGATGATAAAATAGCTGAACTTCTATTATTTACTGATAAACCTATATCAAATATACAATTAAAAGAAGCTATTTGTCGTTTAATGATTCGTGATCAACGTTATGTTCCTGTACTTATTGGTAGTTCACTAAAAAATATTGGTGTTCAAACATTACTTGATGGTATTATTAATTTTCTTCCAAGTGCAAGAATAATTCCAGGATCAATATCAAATATGGGTACTTTAATGTATATATTTAAAACAATACATGATAGACAAAAACAACCATTATCATTTGCACGTATTTATTCGGGTTCAGTTAAAAGACGCATGTCATTAATCAATGCACGAACTAATGAAAAAGAACAAATTCATAAAGTTTTTCTACCATTTGCTGATAATATGGAAGATATTGATGAAATTCGAGCAGGATCTATTGCTGTTCTTAGTGGATTTAAAGAAGTATATAAGAATATTTTAGAAGAATTGTGTTTTCTAAAATTTTACAAAAAAAAAAAAAAAATCTCAAATTTTAATTAAAATACATTCTTTCATTTATTGTATTTAAATTAATTTATTACTTCTCTAGGCATCAAGTGGTGACATACTTGTTTCAAATAAAAAACCAGATCTTGATACATTTTTAAATGATCTTAAACAACAATATACATTTTTACCTGATCCGGGCCTTGAAGCGCCAACACCTGTTTTCTTTTGTACAATTGAAACATATTCTGAAAGTACACAAAAGCAACTTGATTTTGCACTTAAAAATATCAAACGTGAAGATCCATCATTACGTGTACGTATTGATGAACAAACAGGTCAAACCATACTTTTAGGTATGGGTGAATTACATATTGATATAATACGTGATCGATTAAAACGTGAATATGGTCTTGAAACATATCTTGGTCCATTAAATGTTAATTATCGTGAAACACCACGAAAAACTATTCAACAAACAATTGTTTGGAATTCAACAATCAATGAACGACATGCAACGATTTCGATCACACTTTCTATTGAACCAATTATTCTAGAAGATAAACGAATTATTTCATTTTCACAAATTCAAATCATACGAACTGACGAACAAAATTTTGAACATTTAAGACAAGAACATATCGGTATGAAATATAAGTATTTGATAGATTGTTTTCATACATATTATTTTATTATAGAAGCGATTAATCATGGTGTTCGTCTTGCTCTATCAACAGGTTTAGTTTAGATTTTTTTCGTTTTTTTCGAATTTTATTTAAATATTGATTTGATATTACCAGGACTTATTAAAGGTGCTGAAGTAGTCAATATTCAAGTAAAATTACATGATATTCAATTAACAGGATCTATATCACCAGCACTTTATTCAGCAGCAGCTTCTGATTGTGTTCGAGCATGTCTTCGTCAAGCTGATTGTGTTCTTCTTCAACCAATGATGCGTGTTGAAGTATGTTCTGAGATTATTTTATTTATTATTTTATTTAATTTTTATTAACAAAAGGTTATTTGTGTGGCTGATCGTACACAAGTTGTATTAGATGATTTAGCTCGAAGACATAGTCAGATTATTGATGTACAACAAGGTATTAGTAGTGGTGGTTTACAAGAGTCGATGAGTACTGTAATAACAAGAACACCATTGGCTGAATTAATTGGTTATAGTTCAACATTAAGAACCTTAACAAGTGGACAAGCAGATTTTACACTTGCTATTGATGGTTATGAACCAGTACGAATTCATTAAAATTGAATATAAAATATTCAATTCAATTGAAAACAGTATCCTTTGTTAGAAATGTTTCTTGTAGGAAATGATTGTTTTTTTTTAAATAAATGATATTTCGAGAAAAAAAAATTATAACAATTTCATATTAGATTTGTATTGAAAATTACAATTTCCATAATATTATTGTAAAGATAACCGTCGACTTGGGTTCTTTTTCGTCAACTAAAAATTCTTATATTTTCGTTTTTATTTTGAATAAAAAAAGAATGGATATAACATAACAAGCAAAGAAAGAAAGAAGAAAAAAAAAATCATGGCTAAATTTGAAAATAGGTTTGTTCTTATTGTTTTTTTTTCTGCTATTGAAAATATTTTATTTTTTATCTTTTTCAACAGTTGATGTTGTCTGTTGTTGCTGTTGTTTTTGTCTATCTGCTTCTAATTTACTTTGTTCATCTTCATATTGTTTAATTAATGTTGTTAATTCATCATCTTTTAACATTCGTATTGTTGTTTGATTTGTTTTATCATCATGTTGTAAAACAGCTATTTCAATTTTTTCTGGTGTTAATTTTGTTGTATCAAGAGTTTTACTAAATACTCTTATAGCTAAACGTAATGCATCATTTAATTGTGTTTCACCTATTTTATATTCTTGTTTAAGTATTGATATAGCTGTTTGAGAATTATGACCAACACATGTAGCTTTCCATCCGCCATAATTTCCACTTGGATCTGATTGATATAATTGATAACCATAATGTTTATCCCAACCCATATAAAGAAATGATACACCAAATGGACGTTTACCACCAAATTGTGTATATGCTTGTTTTATATTACATAAACGCGAAACAATATATTCAATTGGTGCTGGTTCTTGATATGTTAATAAATATCTAAATTAAAATAAAATAATTTGTTGCTCTTGAAATATTGAAAACACTCGATTTCTGTATCTTAGATCAATTTTGACTGAAATTCTCAATTCAATTGCGAAGTCACATATACTGTTGCTCATGTTATTAATTTACGATCAAAGATCATATATCAATAAAGTCTCGTTCTAATATATGAACTATATCCTTATGACATTTCTGGTACAAATTACCTTTGCCCAATCATACGTAATTCATTAATTAATATATTTGCATCACTTGTAATACCAGAAACAGAACAACAAAGATCATCATGAATTTTATAAATTTTTTCCGAATATTTAACATCATCGAGTAATGGACTTATATTACGTTTTTCACCGGCAAGTACAACACCATTCTCAGCAAGTATACCTAATGAAGCACCTGCATGTGATATAGCTTCTAAAGCATATTCAACTTGATATAAACGACCTTCAGGTGAAAATATTGTTGCACGTGTATCATAACGGCGAGCCATTATTTAAATCTACAAATTAATTCATAGACAAAACAACGATTAATTATATTATTATTGTTGTGTTTAAACGAGATTCCAAAGAAATATTAAATATACAAAGACAACGAGAAGAAGAGAAAAACAAAACATATTTGTACAGAAAAATTTCTTTTTTTTTTATGGATGAGCTTCTAAATGACGACGTTTTGGTTTTTTTGGATTCCGTGAACGACTTTTAGCTTTACATATAGGACATATAGGAGCATTACGATGAATTTGTTGTTGACATGATTGACAAGTCTGAAATACAAAAACAAAATAATCGATTTTTTTATCAGAAAATGAATCATTTTCTAAATTCACACACATATAGATTTTGGATCTATTTACGAACTTTTACAGTCATATAACTGGAACTCAAAAACATTTTTTTTACCTTCATTGGTGGTGGTTGTTGACGAAATGTTGCTCGATCAACATTTGATCCGATACTACCAATAACTTTTGGAACATTCAATGTTGAATTTTGTTGTTGATTATTATTCGATATTGAAATATTAGTACTTGTTATATTAGCCATTTGTTGAGATTGATGATTATGAGAATATGTTACACCTAATGGAATTTGTTCATGTGTATTATCTAATCCTGTTGATGATAAATGACTACTTCGATTAGAAGTTAGATCATGATCACCTGATTGTTGAGAAATTAATCTAAAAAAAAATTTACTTTTTCTTTACATTTTAGAATACAAAAGATCAATACTAACTGCATTGCTACTAATGTTGTTTCATCTTCATCGTGATCAGGAAGTCTTTCAAGATTAAGCATATCACGTAATTTATTTATTTGTTCTTTTATTGGTTGATAATCTTTTAATAGACGTTTACTATCTTGTAATGCTCTTGTTCGTTCTTCTTCAGCTTGTTTTATTGTTGTTTCCATTATATTAATATCAGCATGAATTAATCTTAATTCTTCAATATGTGACATACGTTCTTGTACAAGCATATCAAGTTCTTTACGAAATTCACGTAAAACTTGATTTTCACGTGTAACTAATTCAGTATTTTGTTGTAAATGATTTTGAAGACGTTGAAATTGATTTTGTTTTTCTCTATTTACAAAAAGAAAAATACCGAATTTTTTATTTTTTTTTTAGATTATTAATGATAAACAAACCCTAATTCTTTAATTAAATCAAGTTTACGCATTGATGTTACTAAATCTTTTTCATCAATTGATGCTGTTGATGATGAAGTTTTTTCACTAATACTACTTGTATTTTCCATTCAAGTATTTTTACGTTATATTCTTACTTTCAATAACTGACAGTAATAGTAGAACGACTTATATCATCATTTACTGAACGACACAAACAAAGGTCAACTTATAGAATGACCAATGGGAGAAGAGGGCGCTAGTATCGAACATTTAGTCTTTGTTTTTTTTTAAAACCTTTTCATATATAAACAATAAAAAATTATTTATTGAACATTAAATTATTTTTTAGTAATTTTTTGCAATTTTAATATGTTCTAAAGGTTATTGTAAGGACTATTTGTCGATCAATGAATAATCGAATTGATTTTAACAATCAATCATCGTTGTAGTTGTAGTTGGTAATGCACTAGTACCAAAATTATTCAATCGTCGTAAGCACTAGAAAAATTCAAACAATCGAAAAGAAAATGCGACTTGTCTGCAACGATTTTTAGAAAGTCTTAAAACCTTTTTTTTTTTATAGAAAAGCAGTTCATTTTGTAGAGGATAGTTTCCTATAGTGTTCCAGACGCTGAAAAACTAGAGTTTGGGTTTTCTAAAACCATTATTTTTGAACAATGTGATGATAATTTTTATTTCCTTCTGTTCTTTCTGGAATTGGTTTCTTGTCAAACTATCAGCAAGTTCAGTGAAATAGGATTTTTGAAATGAAAAAAGACACACCGAACTTTTGCAATGAGAGTCAGTGGATCGACGAAAAGATATTAAGTGAAAAAAAAATGGAATCAATGAATCTGAATCTATGAATGGTTTCTGGAAATTTTTGAAGTGAATTGCTTGAGTGTGTTATCAACAAGTGTCAGTGACTTGAGCTAACTGTAAAAAAGAACTCTACTGTTTGTGAAGTTGACATCTTCTAGCTAGTTTTTATGGAATAACTTCACCTCGGGGAAAAATCCTAAATGAAATACTATTAAACTCAATTTAACAATTTTGTTTAGTCCTTGAATAGAAGTTTTTATAAATATAGGACTCAGTTTACTTAAAACAACTCTGTTGCTTGATATTCTTTCTTTCATTGTGATAGCCAGAACAATATGTAATTGGTAGACACATTTATTCGAATAAATAAAAGCACTTAACATTACAATTGACTGTGTATTGGTTGATTTGAAAGGTTTTTTTTGGAAAGACAGTACGATCATTTCTTGATATTTTTTAGTATTTTAGTTCAGTTTTGACTTCAAAAAGAAGAAAAGATCTATTTTTGTTGATAATAAGGTTTCTGATTGTAATGTGTATCGATTGTTTATCAGATACGCTCATACGAATGGTCAAAAAAGTATTTGAATAGGGTGTGGGTGTGGTCTGTGGATGTCTATGGTTATGGGTGACTGTGCTTTATTCGTTGAACTTCCAGGCCCGCACCGGCACCCTGGGTCTACTTTGCCGATGCTTGTTACACTGTCATGCCAACATAAAGAAAGTTAATAGCGTATTCAAATATTGCTTGTTAATATTTGCTCTTGCAGATGTTTAGGATCACAATGGATTCTATTTGATACAGAATTCAATTCTGTTTTGTTTGGCACTATTGTATATAGATAGAGTGATTCCTTTACCATCAATTACATGTATTTCAGTATGAAATGTGGTACAAAAACGTTGTTCTAGAACGGTTCTGTTTTGTCTGTTATCAGCAATCAAATTCCCGAAGAGAGGTGCAATGAAATGTGTTATTGCCAGCCATTGTCTGATTTTGAACGATTCCAACCACCTCATACTGAAAAAAAAAGGTAACATGCGAAACTTGAAAATTTTCGTATGGTACTTATTTTTTTCATGCATATTATACAGATATGAATATAAATCTGTGTACGCTGTCTAATAGGAATAGCATCTAACAAGTCTGTTTTTTCCGTTTCTTTGTCATCACCCGTCGTCAAACTCTTCGTATGACTGTTTTTGTCGTTGATGTGCGCAGTTATTTGCATAAAATGCTTATTTGATAAGAGTTTACAGAAAAACAAAAACAGAGAGAAACAGAACATAAAGGTTACCATGATGCAAAAGTAAGCAACAAGTCATTCAAACAGAAGGAAAAACGACATTGTAAAACACAAAAAAAAATTATATTGGAACGATTTCTGATAGTAGAGGGTGTGAGTGTGGGTGTGGGAGTTGTCTTCACTGAGAAACACGGCCACAGCTACAGCCCACACTCCACACTCCACACCCATCCATACCCATATCCACATCCACATCCACCTTCTATTATTTTTGTCTGTGTTCATCTCTCTCTATCAAGGACTCAAACAGGCTGTCTTTTTGTACGCATGACCTGCCTGCAATAGGCCTACATTCTCTCCAGTCTGCTTGTGCCTGTCATCTTTTTTTCTTCGGTATGCCTATCAAGGTCTGTCTACTTCTGTTTTCGCTTAGTATTCGAATAAAAATAAAATATACTCAAGTAATGAATCTTTATAGGAAGTCCAATAAGTGAATGGATTCAGTTTAAATGATACTAGTCAAAATTCTGTGATGTGAACAACCAAGAAAATCTTTAAAACTGTTCGATATACAGATGCGTATCCTGTTGGCAAGTATATCATAACACGTAAGGATAGGCGTAGAAAGATAATTAACTTCAGGAAATTTACTATAATTGCTACAAGTCAGAAAACATCATACATATTCTACTATAAGAAGGTTTTGACTAAGTGGTGATCGATTTCAAACAATAATCGCTCACCAAAAATTGTGGTTTTTCACTATAATGAGATGTTCACATTTGACAGGCATTATGAATTAAAGTTTTTATTTTATATTTAATATAAACTGGAAAAGTATCGCTATATAGGGAAATAAAAGAATAGCTAGAGATTTTTATTGAGAAAAACAATCAAGTTGATGGCCTAGAACAATTTGAAAGAATCTGTCAGACAAAAATATTACTTGCAGCATGACAATCAAGAGAAAAACCAGACACAAAAAAAAGTAATAACAGACAGAAAGAAGAGGTAGATAATTGATGAAATCGGATGTCGGTGTAGGTCTAAATCTTCGTTTAGTCCACACTACTCACACCTACACCCACTTGGGTGCGATATTTTTGGAGTTGTTTGACAATGAGATGATTCTTTAGTTGTCGAAAATACAACCGAACATTCTATCCACCAAAGAACGTTGTTCTACGTGCGTAAATGCATTGTCTTGGATCTTTTTCATTAGCCAATGAGGTTTTATGTCCTACTGATAGATGGCTAACCTGATAGCAAGACAGGTAGCCCAGAGGCACCTCTCACTGCTGCAAGCAACAATGAGACCCTTTATATGTCCAGGACATTTTCGGCAGACAAATCATCGAATAGACAATTACGTACCAAACATCTATCTTTCGAATAATAGGAATATTTCGATTCAGCTTCAAGAAAACAATCAATTCATTCGGAAAATTGAGACGAACGATAGTCAATGTTAGCGCTCAATAAAAATTAAAATAGAAGAAAAAATATTACCAGATGGCGTATGCCAGCCATCTTAAGTTCAGAATTAAAATAACTACAAAAAAAATGAAATTTGCGTTATAGAGTAATATGAGAATTTATATCAATATCAACAATCAACTATTATATTTGTTATTATTATAGAATATCAAATATCAGACCGAACTTTGAATACTTCACTCGACTAATACCATCAAAAATCTAAATAATAAGTAATTCGGTTTGCAAATACTTCAAACAATA